CAGGCGGCAATTCGGTCTTATTTCCTGTTAATATACTCTGCCGTGTGTTTCAACTCCAATTAGATCGAAATCTTCTTTCAAAAGACGATTTGGTAGACAGAAGGACGCGCACGAAGAATCTGTCTCGTACATGCGTCGCAGCGGCAGCCCGTGAATCAAGAGCACAAATGGGTAAATCCACTCACAAGGATCAAGAAGGCAATCCAGAGCAGCTCAGCATGTGCGTACGGTTCAGCTAAACTCCGCGATTTCAGAGATAAAAAGCCCAGAAAAGACTCTCGTTCCAGTCCCCGATCCCGTCTACTGTTATTACTACTAACGAGCTCAGCAGAGCTGCATGTCAGATGCTGCAGCGTGGCACGTAACGAGAGAGATATGGAACTCCCGCAAGCCAGTGAGACTTCCATGCAATCCTCCGCTACCGGCCCGTCCCAATCAGAACTGAAACTTCCCAACCCGGCCCGGCCCGGCATGGAGTTATTCCGTTCAGTTCGAGCCAGTTCGAATGGGTATGTGTATGTACTGTAACGAACAGTGCCCCGCTTTGAACTGGAGCGGCCCTGGAAGGCTCCGACACCCCCTACCCGCGTCGTAGCGGCGTCGACGACGTCACGCCCGCGTCGCAAAGTTGGCGTCTCGTCGCGCAAAGAGGGGGCGACCGGGCCCGCCGCTGGTCTTTCCAGTCAATGAAGACCATTGACCGGCGAGTATCTTTGTTTCGCACTTTGGCTCGATCGTCTGGTTTCGAAATAACCTTTCGCATTCATGATTCGGCATGGCCCGAAATTCACGAAGAGAAAGCCGCTCCTTAGAACTTGGAACTGGCATTAATTCTTTTATTCCTCTCTGTCCTCCCGCCCTGCCCTGCCCTGCCTCGCCTCTGTACGAGCCTCTGTTATTATACACTGCTGGTGGTGGTATAGTACATGAGCACTGCATACGAGTATACTCGAAGCCCCAATGTAAATACGTCACCGTAATCCATTCCGTAGCCATGTCGTATCCCATACCCTTTCCAAGGGCCTGGGCCACGCTTCCCGCCACAATGCTTCCAGTGTACGTCCAGCTCGAAGTCCTCGGCACTGGGACTGAGAATACTCGATATTCGATATCCGAGTCCTACGACTCGGATATTCGGTTCAGGGTCGATGGAGTCCACAGAGTACTGCTGCTGCTGCCTCTACTGAGAGTACTACTACTTCCAGCACGAAACGAGGGAGACGACGAAAGAATGAGAATAAGCGAAATAATAACAGTCTCGGGCCGAGGCCGAGGTCGAGGGCCTGTCAGCATTGCAAATAGAAACTGAATTATGCTGAAATTAGAATAATCGACCACGAGAACCTCGTAGAAAGCATTTTTTGCTAGAGGCCAGGACGAGTCAAAAGCGAGCTTGACCTCCTCCTGCTGCTTTGATGTCTTTTTTTTTTCCTTTTCTAGTTTTCTTTTTTCTTTCCAACGACTTGAGTGCCACTGGTGTCCATTCGGCTTCTGGGATTTCCTTCTATCTCGCTGCGCACCTCTATACTTTGTACAGGGATAATAAAATTCTGGACGTCTGTTACTCTTCCTAATTCATGAACACTCACTCACACTCACACCAGCTCGCAGAATTAAGAATGTGAGAATGTGGTCAGAGGAAGCTGAAAACTTGAGCATCGAGGTCAAAGGTGAAGTCACGAGTGACGTGTAAAAACAAGGCAGTGACTTGGCGAGGCGGAAGGAAGACGATAAAGTCGAGCAAACGCTCAGTGAAGTCAGTGAGGCCCTCTCGCTCTCTCTCTTTTGGCGTGGGAACGAGCTTCAACAAAAGGACACTTAGGCAAAGGAACTTTAATAAAGCAAGGGAAGGCAAGGGAAGGGATTATGTCAGAGTACAAAATCTTGTGCACACTTGAGGACGAGAGGCGCACTGATGGAGAGTCGTCCGGGGCGACGGTAAAAGTCAAGGAATGAGTAAACTTTCGAGCACATCCACGTGTCTAGGCACCACCGCCCCATGGGACGGATTCCGGTCGATGTGGCACGGACAAGTGGGCGGCTCTCGGGCGCCCGCTTGGGGATAATTTTCCGATCAGATTTTCAAAATAAAGGTGGAGGAACGGTCGCGGCCGGCCGTCGATCGGATCCAACGTGAGGTGGCCGCTGTCCAAATTCAAAGAAGGGTGTCATCGAAAGTGGGTTGACCTTTGACCGGTCTCGGTCGTTTCGGTTCTTCTGGATTTGGCGGCATTACACGTGCCAGTGACACTTGGAGCTCGGCAGCCCTCCATTAATGCATGGAGTGACGCCAACGTAAAAAGCTGCACTCGAATGTGATTCACCCATTTGTAGATGCCCTTGAGGCTCAAAAAAATGTTTTCTCCCTTCGAAAGCTAGGTACTGCATAAGATATTAAACGATCTGAGTTTAATATCTTTGTTAATACTCTGTGATTGCAAAATTTTGACACTAATTTGAAGATGAGGTGTTTCAGAAGAAAACGAATCACCTGTATTTAATTAATCCCTTATATGTTAGCTCCCAAAAGCCTCATGGTACTTGAGTTGGAGTTTCGTACTGTAGTGGAAAATATTGTTTTCTTTTGTAAGTTTCGTCCATCATGCTCTTTCATTAGGTTTTATTTGTCGGCACCCTCCAGCTTATGTGTCATATTTGTATGGAAATTTGCTATGTGGCATAGATCGCTTGGAATGCAAACAATAGTTTCATGCATTGCATTGCTCATCACACGTGGAAAATTCTTACAGCATACATACGTGATACACCAGGACTAAAAGACTCAACCACCTAGCCATGGGCGAAATACAAAGTAATGGCCAGCTAGGTCTAAAATGAATCTACTCTCGAGGCTTATCCCCATGTTTATAAGACATCATCCCTCGCAGTGGACCTCTAAGCCCCCTAGGACACAACATATCAATACAAATGCTTATGTGGAACCATACAAAAATTCATCTATTATTTCATTATACCTGTCATCAAGAAAATTGCAATTTTTCAATAATTTTAACTTATTATAGAACTATTATAGCTGTCTATATTCGATCTCAGGAATACTAGTGCTCCATATCTGTTACCGTACTACAAAGGGACACACCGCTAACAGAGACAATGTATCGCAGTTTTCAAATATACATGCTCTGGAGGTAGCATATCAAAGGTAGTTTATGTGAATCTTAGCAATCAATCTACCATTGGATGCCCTACCAAACGCACATTGACTACTATGCTTATAACTCATAGTTAGATCAACGACTTATTCTGTAGATGAATTAGATATTGATACTCAAAAAATGAGGATATAGAATCTTACTCTTTGAAAGGCAGAACCAAAATCTCCTGCATCCATACGGACTTATTCATAATGACATCCAACCTTTGTTAGTATTGAAAAATATAAATATCTTTGAGATTGTATTCGATTCAAGAAAACAATCAACATGTTGATGGCTCAAATGACATAGAGAAAAAATTAACACCATTTCAAGATGTATGTGTGACCTGAACTTTACATCAGATTATAGATGCTCTAGTATTCATCCATAGATTCAAGTCTCATTGTAACAATACTAAACTCTTATTCTCATCACATCATCATTCGTGGGTCTATTTTCACAGGATTCTCAAAAAATGCGTGTATTGAAATAATATTTGTAAAACATTTGACGCAAACCATTTGAAAATGCCAGTTTGATAGGCCGTCCACGAAGTTCACTCATCGAACTAGCTTGAGAAATCGGTATCATCTACAACATTCCTCGTTTGAACGTTTGTTCGTGAGTTTGGAGTAAAAAGGTACACAGCATTTTGGAGATGGTGGTGAGCGATGAAAGTAACAATGGGCAACACAATTTGTAGGCGGAGACAATTTGTATATACAATTTGTATTTCGGTAGATGATTTCTTCACTCCAGAAAGGAATGTAGAGAAGCACGTGCTGGACCTTGGCATCGGAGATGGGGAAGAACAAAAAGCAAACATTATGTGCCGTATTCAAAGGGATGTCACGTTGGTCCTCCTCGTCCCTCCCTGCCCTCAGCCGTCTGTCTGCCTGCCCGCCCTCCCTTGGACTCGAGGACTGATATAGAAAGACGGTCCGTATCTCTACCCCAAAAGCTACACTTTGAGTACGCATACGAACGAGTGCATGAAATGGTCAGAAACGTGCAATTCACCCCACCCCACCCCACCCCAGACGCCTTTGCTGATTCCAGGTACGGTCCTGTAATTGAGCTCCAAAAATATTCACCCCAGAGAGCATGGCTGGCGGAAGCCTGCGCTCGCCAGGGCTCGTCTCGATGCAGTCAAAGTCCTTCCCTCCGTCCGTCCGTCCGTCCAGTCCAGTCCAGTCGAGACTTCGAGTCCTTTCGATAAGAATGGGGGTCGTCCTTGCGGAGGACGGTCCTAATGGAGAACACCAGAGAACCAGTCGGTCAGGGGTCAAACGAACCAGCAAGGCCAGCCAGCGGGAACTTTCGTCGGGGGGAACGAGTGGAGGGAGGGATTCAAAGCCCCGGGGATCTTACGGGACGGGACCGGACGGGAAGGGACGGAGTGGAGTGGAGTGGGCGGTCAGCGGAGACTCTCTCTCCCTCTGTACAGTAGCGCAGTCGGCCTCGTCCGTTCCCTGGGCTCTCGTTGGGTGTTCCAGTCGCGTCGTCGTTTGAGGACTCATTAAATGGCACGGAGGAGGAGGAGGAGGAATCGCATGGGGATTTTAGCGGACTGCAGATTCACATGTTAAATCTGCGGAGGTTAATTTGGTTCGCTTGGTAGGGGTCGGGCGGGGCGGGCCCGTATGCGCAGTGGTCGGTAGTCAAACAACAATATATGCACGCTCCTGCACTGCAGCAGTAGCAGCAGCAGCAGCTGCTGACTGCTTCAATTCTGCTGGTTCGATTGTCCATCCTCCCTTCCTTCTGCTGCTGCTGCGGCTGCAAGGCAATTGTTTAATATTATATGCCTTTATTCCTTCCGCATCGCATCAGCAAGTTCTGCTGCTGCTGGCATCGCTTCTGCTCTCGTCTGCTGCTGCTCTCGCTCTTGCTCGTGCAAGGAGGAAGAGGATACTACAAAGCCCCTCTCTCGTCTACTCCCTCACTCAGCACTCATCCTCCCGAGCTTGCTAACTGTCTCTGTCCCCCCATCTCTTCCCTCTCCTCCTTCCCCTTGACCTCGTCGTCCTCTACCCCCACCCCACCCCACCCCACCCCCCCTCTACCACTCTCAATCTCGCACTCTGTACACTCTCACCTTGCTTCTCGGATCAGCCATCAATACAAATATACAGTTGGTAAGCAAGCCACCGGAACAGTCGACTGGTGAGTGAGTGAGTGAGCGAGTGAGCCAGCCAGCGAGCCAGGAAGCTAGCCAGCTAGCGCTCTCACACGGTGGTGTATAAAGCAGACATGAAGAGCTTCTGAGGGTCTTTGCCTCTCGCTGAATCTGTTGTAAGGAACAAGGCTCATGAGAAGGACAAGAGTATCGACGAAGAAGAAGAAGAAAAGGAAAACGTAGAAGAAAGCCAAGACATGTGCATTCGACAACCTCGTTCGCAAGCGCAGCAGCAGCAGCAGCAGCAACTGCCTCTTCTGGTGCCTCGATAGGAAGTCGAGAGACGACAGGTACGACCCTTTTTCACATTCGTATCGCCAGTGTTCGTTGCGCATTACGCAGGTCGCTTTGAAAATCAGTGAGTTCGTGAGGAACGAGTTTCCGCAGCCAACGAGCAGGAAGCAAGCAGGCAGGTAGACAGGCAGACAGAGACAGTCAGGCAGGCAGGCAGGCGCTCGAGTGGATAGGCAGGGCGGCAGGTGGAATAGGTCATGGGAGTGTAGAAGACGTCGTACAGAGCTCATGTCCCCTACATTAGTGCGTTCGTGATCGCTAGCAGGCCTTTTGAATCCAAGAATCCTCCGTGTGCTGGGCATCGAGCAGGAAATTTGGATGTCAGCGTTGGATTTTAGTTACGACGAGCTTGATGGTCAGTAACTGTCGCAGTCGTAGAGGTTGATACACAACCACCTTCGTCGCTATCAGCTCGCTGTACACGACCTTCTTTCTTCATTCATAGTCGTCGAACACCATCTTATCTTATCTGCTCCGGTCTCATCGTACCTTGATAGCAGCAGATCTATGCGCGCAATGACATTTATCTCTCAGGTGGTCAACTCTTTGATCACGCCTCTCATGAAGCTCACACTTTTTCTCCCCGCACCGAACCGAACCATTGACTCGCTCTTACCTATCAGTCCTCAACCTTCAGGGGTCAATCGATCTGTCGTCCAGTTCCTCTGTTCGTCAATAGAAAGCATGATAGAGAGAAGAAGAGAACGAATTAGAGCGGTCGAGTCCCTGCCTCCGCGGCCCTAATGTGCATCTGTTTCCTCCCCTTAGCGGATTCAATGCGATCTTAACCCGAAGGGCCTCCTCAACTCTTTCGCCACCTGAAGTAGACAGGAAGCGCGTATGAGCGTGACCTTGCGTAGTCGAGTTGTATCCCAGGAGCTCCCTGTCGAGGTCGCCGTAGCTGTTTTGACATCGCGAGTCAATCTTACTTCGGAAAGTAGGAAGTAGCATGGATGCTGACTGACGAGTCGTATGGCGCGGCGCAGCCTGGGATTTGTAATTTGTGTAGTAGGTCACTTCAGGAGTCTTTTGCCTGCGAGATGCCTCCTGCATTTATTGGTTCTGTTTGAGCCAATCCAGCTGCCGCGATGCCAGAGGATCTTGATTTGACTCGGTCTCGTTTGTTGTATTCAGGAACGACGCAACGAAGTCATTCAAGAAGAAGTGACGAAGTTAATTTACGCACACTAATTCGATCGGACCTACAACTTAGGGCTCAGGTATTCATCATCTCCTCTGCGCTTGTGCTTTTTCGTCACCTAGAGTGAGGAGTAGGGTTCAATCGCGATAACATTGGTTTCAATTTCATGCATAGCCTCGTGTACTTGTTCTGCGCTAGCGGGCCAGAGCTCTTCAACATCAAAGAATCTGGCCTCTGATCAGGAAAGTGTTGTGATGAGGTCGGTGAATTGAAGCATTCCTTGCTGATTTTAGTGCGTTTTCGTGGCCCAGTGGTGAAATTTCTTTCTGTACAATGGAGGCATGCGATTGATCAGGAAGCGCTCTTCTCGGTGAAGATGGAGACGTTTCTATGAGCAGGCGCAGGCTGTTTGGGTCGGGCAGATTGTTAAGGCCGTGCTTTCCTTGAGCCCAAAAGGCGGTGGGGGAGATCTCTCCATCAGGTTTTTAACCAGCCAGCGAGGGATTTCAGGTGTATGGTCGTCCTGATCTTCTAAGATGGGAAATTTCGCGTCATGTGTGTCGCCCGACGTGTCGAAGCTGAGCGTCAAGGTCGTACATCCGGATGGGAAGATGGAGGAGTTCCGCCGCTCGGTGGTCGTCGCAGAGCTGATGATGGAGCACCCGAACCACTTCGTGTGCCATTCGTCCGCCTTGACGAATATCAACAAGAAGTCGATGCTGTCGGCCGAGATTGAGCTGGAAGCAGGTCGCCTCTACTACCTGCTGCCTTACGACAAGTTCCAGGGTATTCTGACACCCGAGGTGACCGACGCCCCTGGCAACAAGCCTGCCAGAGCCGTGAACGCAATCCAGCAGCTGGCGCAAGCCAAGTTCGAGATTCAGAACAAAGCGAATTCCATGGTGACCAGGGTGACGATCAAGGGAGACGACTTGAGCCACCTGCTCTCGGAGGTGGGCAACGGAGCAGGCAGGAGAACGCCGCTCGTCAGCTACTCGAGCCCCGACCTGCGCTCGCTCTACACCAACCAGCTTCTGACCAGAAGCAACTCGTGGAAGCCGATGCTGGAGACGATTCAGGAAGTGGTGGCCGTGTCCAGGTCCAAGAAGCAACGAGTGCACAATTGGGAGGATACCTCGGCCGACGACAGCAGACCGTCCGAGCCAGAGAGCGCCGTGGTCAGCCCCAAAGCTTCCATCAAAGAGGCAGCCGTCGTGCCCTTGCTGTCGACTCCTCCCCAATCCACAGCAGCGCCCAAGAAGAAAGGCAAACCCGAGAAGAAGAAGTCGTCGTTCAAGAAGTCGGACAAGGAGCAGCAGCCGGCGAAGCCTCAAGGGCCTCTGCCTCCGCAGAGCCCTGGCGTCTACACAGAGCTGTTCCCCATGGTGCAGGTGCCTCCCCGGAGAGTGCAAGCCGTGAATTAAACCTTGCGTTAAGCCCTCAGTCTTCGTGTATTTTTATGACGCGCTCTCCCAGGAATACCCCTCACCGATTCTCTCTCCAATTGATTACTTTCGCCTGGAGTTATAGCTCCCGTCTTACTTGTTTCTGAGCATGTTGGTTTCGTGCCCTGCTCCACATCCTCTTCTTCTGTCTTTGTTTCTCTTCACACTTCTCTCCCTGGAGCGAGTTTCCACCCTGGAATTGGAGAAGGCGTCTTTTCGAAGTGTTTCCTGGAGCGCACCTGAGATTCTGCATGTCAATTCTGGTCATGCCGAGTCCGAGTGGCCTACACTCAGAACATTGCAAACTGGCGAAGTCGATACTCGAACTCGGAGGAGGAAAAGTCTGGAAGCTGTTTGTGCTCTCTCATTCACGTGCACGCGGTGTCAGTTGGTGAGCAGTGAGCAGGCAGGCAGGAAGGGTCACAGGCACTTTGCTGATGAACTTAACATGGTCACTTGGATTTTCACACGAGAAGCATCTTGAGTCAATTCAATCGTGGGGTTAACAAGTCATGGTCCGTCACCAAGAGACCTGAACGACGACGGCAGCAGCAGCAGCAGCCAAGCGAATACGCGACTTGGGGAGATCTGGAAACCGCAGCTGCCTCGAGTTAGTTTGCATTGTATAGTAAGTCCCACAATTCTGCAACCTCTGCAGGAAGGGAGGAGACGCATGTCAGGACTGGAGCGAGTGTTATAACTCTACGAGCGACACTGAGGCATTCAGTGCAGAGTCATTTGCCGAGACGAAGGATATGTTTTGCGGGTTATTGTACATACATGAAAGGGTTTGCATTTGGGCGAACCTGGAAGAGCTTCAGTAGTGTAGATTTCATGAATTCCCCTGGCCCCGGGGGTTATTCCGTTCGCAAGGCCCAGGTTGTAAACGGCATCAACGAGTTTGCTAACGTGGAACAGCAGACTGTGTTTAAGTCATGATCAACAACAACTTAACGAAGCGTTGTCGACATTAATGAACACTTCAACTTCATCACCGAGAATTTGGTTGTCCGTCAGCAAGACTTCTGTTTGAACCTTAACAAGGAGCCGGCCGAGTTTTAGGTCATCATCAACTATACCAATTTTTACGCTGTCGACTTTGTTGAATCTCGATCCAGCAATCATAGAATGATACATTCGGTCACTGAACCTGACATGTAGGTCAAGCAAGGTCCCCGATCGTGGGTCCGGGATCTTACTTCGATGAGACACCCGTGTCAAGTGTTACTGTTCGCATTAATATATGTACTGGGTGGGTTCACTGGAACTTCCATTGACTTCAGTCTCTTCAGCTTCATCTTCACTTGAATGCGCACATGATATTTCCACTTCTGTATTTTGCCTGTCTCGTCCTCTCGCGCTCGGATGCAATGGATCCAAGAATGGAGCAGAAAAGAGAACTCCCAAGATGCCTCAGCTCGGTGAATGGATTATTATTTAGCATGTTTCACCGACACCCGCACAGATTCGCCAAAGTGCTAGTTAAAATCAATGCCACACTTATGTGCGAACCAGAACCGACTCGTACACTCGTCGACCGTCTCAGGCCGACCTCCAATGAGACCGGCCGCACTCCACAAAAGCTTCTGCGCTCACTGGCTCCAGTCCTGGCAAAGACCACAGTCAAAAAGCTGTATGTCCTCTGAATGTTTCAACTTTGCGTAGCATCATCAGGGCATGCAGAGGCCACGTTTCTGCAGTATCGTTGACCGTCCTTTGACTCGCGGAAAAGATCATGATGTGTAATGGGTGCAGTTCGGGTGGTGATCTGACACGGGTGGGGGCCAAGGGATCTCCCTTCGTGGAAGAGGAAGAGGAAAGCAGTAAACTATCCAACCAATTGAGGTCTCCGTTCACTCACTCGACCATAGCTCGGTTTATTCTCCCATGCACCGGTACCAGTGAGCAACCGATGCTGCTCAGTCCGAGAGAAGGCCCGGCTCGGTTCGCGTGCACGTTCATCTCTTACCCCGGAATAGTCTCCTCGCTTTTCCCTGTACTGGGCCAGCGAACCAGCCAGCCAGCCAGCCAGCCAGCCTGCCTTAGGCATGACAATCTCCCTCTAGATTCAGTTCTGATTATATTCTGCGAACTCCTTGTCCGCAGCTCCCGACCAGCGAGCTGCAACGAGAGCATTCTTGCCTGCCTGCTTGTTTGCCTGTCTGCACCAGCAGCAGCAGCCGCTGCAGTTGTTGCCTGATGCCTGCCGACCTGCTTATAGGAAGGCTGATTGTCGAAATTCTAAACAACTCTACTCGCACTAAGAGCAATGAAAGACAGGTGACCATTTCTTTTGTCAGGCATCAAATCACCCTTGGGTAACATGAAGATAAACCGAGCTTTGAGAAATAGAGAGAGAGAGAGAGAGAGAGAGAGAGGCTGGCTGGGTGAGTGGTAATCTCGAGAGAGTGGAATGGACAAGAAAGGTGAAGTGCAGGGTGAGCTCGCTTGCATCATTGAGTCAAATATTTCGAGCGATAGTCCCATGCCGACGACCGCTTCCTGCCCCTCCGAGACCTGCTTTGAGAGGATCCATGCAAGCCGCGCCGCGACAGATCTCATTGGCTATGCACAATTGTTTATTGTAGCACGACAAAATGCTTTCTAGCCTCTGATCGATCTGTGAGGCGATGCTGTGATATGCCCGCTGCTGCTGAACACGAAGAGTGAATCTGACAGAGTGCCATCGATGGACCGAGTGTAAACAATTCATGGGACCTGTGTTTATGGTTCTTCCCTCTTCGCCCCTTCTAGTTTACCCTTCCACATCCCTTTCAGATTGAGCATCGTTCTGACAAAAGGTTATATTTTATTCCAGAAATTACTCCATGGCTTTTCCCTCAGCATTTTCAGAATCTTTTCGGCATGTGACGAGAGTACCGATGTATGGAGTTCTAGAAAGTCAAGTTGAACGGGGAATTACGGGGAACATTGACGCTTAGCTTTGAACGCAAGACTATTCTTCAGGGTTGGAAACAGGAGAACTTGTTGATATTTATTACCATCTTGATGTACTTTTTTACGTGATATAAAAGCGAATCTTTAGAACATGCAATTCGTATGCTCATGTTTTGGGAGTGAATTGCTCAAAAGTGTTATTTATGAGTCGGATTCCATTTTACCTGGAAAATGAATTTAAAGCTTTTATTCTTTATGCCATTGAACAGAGCATTAATCACAAACTTCAACAATAAATTATTCTTTGTTTTACATTTTAATACGATATTCCTTATAAAAATCTTGAAAGAAGAAAGAAATAGTGCATAAGATTTCAATTTGAACACACTATTTACTTTTAAAATGTTTGAAAAATTTCAAACATTTTAGGTTATATAATATCAAAATAAAATTAGGTTATATTATATCAAAATATGAACTCTTCTGAAAAGAAATGAATAATAAACACCAAGACCTACATCTACTTAAAGATTGAAAAATATCGTTTATATTTCGAAGATTGATCATGATCATAAATATCAATAAATAATTTTTAAGAGATTGTTTTTTCGATTACTTAGTTACATATAACCTGAAAAGCATACATGTGATACAAATTATCATAAATATAAATGTTAAGTTTCACAAACAGTTTTCTATATTGAAAAATCACACTATAAGGATCAAATAAGAAATATTAAGAATCAAAACATAATGATATATTATCATAAAAGTGTTAATCTAACTTAAAACAATGTGTTCATGATTTTTTCTTGTGAGTAGAAAAATTTGGATCATAAAGATTTATTAAAAAAATTTCTCTTATATAGACTTTAAATTCATCATTTGGGTTAGGATGAATCTCAATTTTTGCATACTTATTATTTTATTTGATTATCTATCATTCCTGTAATCTAAAAATCCCATAATTAATATTGAGATTATGTTCATCAAATTTTTGATCAATGATTAAATTATTTTTTAAAGTTTCAAATCTCTACTATCATTCATTTACAATGACTTTAAAATAGATCTAAAAAAATTAAAATCGTTTTTTTGGAAATTTTTCAAGCTGAGAAAAAAATTTAATTTAATCATTCCTCATTGATAAATAAATTCATGAAGATGAAGATATATTATTAAGATCACATAAAGTTATTTAATAAGGGTAATACATCAATAAATGATTAAAGTATACATTGAATTGTTGATGCGAAAAATATCAACTGATAATAATCGATTTTCATTCAGCAATTTTTTTTAAATTTTATGTGAAAAATAGTAATTTCATTTTATTATTAATAATTATTGAATCCATATATATATATATATATATGAGATTGATTATATCATATTATAATAGCAAATATTTTCACAAAATACTTAACATCATAAAGTAATACTTACCTAATATGAAAATTTTTAATTTTTTTTTAATGAATTTGATATGAAAAATATTATTGCATAAATTTTCAAATGATTTTTTATTCCAAAATAATCTATTGAATAGTTTAACTTATAAAATTTTACAATGAAAACATTCATATCATATGAATGCAAGTACATATTTATTTAACATATAAATTTGTACTTGGACCCGATAATATTTTTTATAGTTTTCAATAATTATATATCATTGTAACACTACGGATTTAAAAATTAATCAATTAAAGATGAAATACATATGTGATTTTAATCTTCTTTATATATATACATATATATCTTATCGAGAAGTACAGAAATTTTTCTAAAATGATATATTTGAATAAATTTAATAGATACACGTATTTTTAATATTTTCACTCTCTACTTTTATATTCAATTTTCATTTAACAGACACATGATTGATGACACTGTTCATTGATATATTTATTTTCAATTTACAAAGTGCGCAAATTATTAATGTAATGATTATGTAGAATTTTTTATAATTTATATTTTGATTAAACAACATAAAAAATATCATTAAACTCATTAATGTAATCTTGGATTTTTACATCAAAAGCTTTAATATTCAAAATCATCAATCTCAAAGAATCATATCAACTATTATTCAAATGAATTTGTACAATTGTGAGCAATATTAATAAATTCTGTTTCATCTTTTATTTGAATCTTGTAAGGAAAAAATAAAATAATTTAAGAAATAATCTCGTGATTCCATATAACTTTAATATGTGTCTTGGAAATTGTGCTATTGAGATATCTTGAATGCTCCCAAGATTGACGCATAACTTAACCTCTATGGACAAAGTCAGTTTATAGCATGTAGAGACTTATCAATTTCAGTCTTTGTTGGCAACATTACCTCAAATCTATTTGGTACTAGCCTCGAATCTTTATCGCGTTATCAATCTTAGTGTTCCAGAATTGTTACATGATTAAACGACAAACTATTGTCTTCTAAAAAAATACAACAATACTTATACTATTTCCATACGTACAAAAGAAATGAAATGCTCAACTGTTATTAGTAATCTAGCGCCCCAATCTGAGTACCTTTCCTTGCTAGGGATCTCAAACGCTCTCGCAGCTTGATGGCTTATCTATTGGCATGCATCGGCTGAATGGGAGTGGACACATATATGAAGGTGAATACTGAACATGGGTTCTGAAGTTTATGGTGCTTAGATGGCAGGCTACTCACGAGTTCAAAGCTCACCGCATCGTCAATCTCGCCACCAGAAACACGTCTGCTGCCGTTTCTGTAGACATGCACCACGTTGCCAGGCACGCCGGTTCCAAGGGTTTTCCGAGGATCAGCGAGCACATTCTTCACTAAGTCATCCGCGTTCACAACCAGGTGGCAGAGTCCCAAAATGTGTTACGTGGAAGAATTTCCCGTTACTGATTTCAGTATGACCACATGTAAATATCAATGGATATCCACTATTGCAGCCTCGAGATCAATTCCTTCTGATATACTTCCTTGCTCATAGAATTTACCGCAGACATCCGCGCTGCTGTTTAATCACATAATCTGTGCCTCCCCACATCATTTGCAAAGGAAAGCAGATATAGCTTCAAGTTTATCAAAAGTTGTTTCGACCACCCAATTTAGAAGGAATTTCGGCAAAGATAACAGATGGAGCGTTGCATGGGTAGCAGCATACAGGTATCAAGTGATTCCTTCTAAACCCTCTTTCTCACAAACTCTGCACCATAAAACGATGTGTCTCTTCAATCACAAGCTTGGTCTCAGCCCAGGAGGACTGGGCTGAGACCCAATAGCCTGCGGCTTGAATGGACGACAGGTGTTGCGAAGGCCGGCTCAATGAAGAAAGTCCACGCCTGCGCATCTTCAACACTGCATGTGATCGGAGCATGGATACATCCGAGATCTATTTGACAAACTAATTTTACACCGCAATGAAGCTTGCTCAATTTGATTATGGTTGTGTCGAGTAATTGAATTGTAGGTTTATGGACTATATTGTTCGATGTATAATTTTAATTTCGTGCCGGTATCGAATCGAGAATTGATATCCTTCTCCGTTCACTTCATCCACAGAGGTTGGAAGAATATTTCCAACTGTAGAAGACGTTCTGCGTGATGAATTTCCACTCAATATGCAAGTCAAGGAATTGCATGATATTCATCAAACGAAGTACTTCATCCTCTCAAAAGTTTCACTCGATGTTTTAGGTATATTTCTGCAAGAGACTCTGTCTCTGAACGTCCACACGCATTCGTGCTACGAAACTAGCATATTTCTCCACGTGACAGGTTTGAGCGAGCTGGTCTATTATATTATGCTGAGATCACGGCCAGCACAACGCATGTTATCAGGGTGTATCACAGAGAGAAATCTGCTTGTCAACCTTGACCTGACACAACGCTCACTAGTACTGGAATGCTGGGAGGTGGGTGATTCTTACTGCATGTTCGACAGGTTTAAGGAGGGCAGCGAAGCAGTCTCCTCGAATACCTTCATAGATGAAGATGGGAAGCATCGAGACAAGAGAGAGACCTACGGAACCAAAAAACAGATGACACATAAATTTTTTTACCAATATCCCTTCAGTTTTGACTTAACAGCTGCGAGACTCAATAGTAGATGACCTGAATCAAAAACTGCGTGGCCAGTTTCAGCAATATCTGTGAGTGTATGTACATAACTCTGTACATCCATGAGTAACAGAGTTATAAAAGTTATATATAGAAATAGTTTCTCTTTTAGGGTTTAGGGCAATTTTTTGTAGTAGAAATTGATCTCTTGTTCAAACATGGCTACTCGCTGAAATTGAAAAGATAACATGATCTTTATTCCTGTCGATTATAAAGTTGTTGGACCTTCATCGTGCAACAACAGAAGAATCATTCAGGTATATGTATCGAAGTTCAAAGTGACCAACCCCACGTTTCAACCAAAAGGATCTCATCATGGTGAGACTTGCAACAAGACATACTGAACTCTGACATGATTACATAATGAACTCTGACATGATTACATAACTTACAAAAGGCTTGTACCAGTGAAAATTATAAGTAAGATCATGCAAAGGTTTATATTGCAAAAGGGACTAAACATATGCTTGTCAATTGCATAATGACATTCTAACCTCTTCTAAATCCTAACATGTCAAACTTCCAGAAAGAAGACCTTTTCTCATGCACTCCTCGCATGCCCACCGTTGGGTTGTCTCACGTACTTCACCTGATACAACTTGAAGATTTTTGGAATGCTATCTTTAAGCTGAGGCGCAAGAGTTTGCTGAATTCTCAACCATGCTTCGTTCAGCTGCACGCTATGCCCACCCTTTCGAATTGCCCAACCATCAATATCACTAATATCATCTAGCTTAACAATATCAGTTTTTAGAATATACCACTGCGGAGTAGCTTCGCCTAACCCGAGGGTCACATCCAATCCAGCCTTTGCAGCATAATACAGGATTTTGTATGAAATCTCAATAACTCTTGGAATCCACCCGCTATTTTCCTCATCCAAGCGCAGCTTCAAGCCTTTTTGATCTTTGACGATGTGAAACCCAGTGATCCCCTCAGACATCAAGCGTAATCAAACGGTTCTTCCGAGATGCAGACTTGCACTCATCCTATAAAAAATGCCAACATCGTTCATGACGTAAGGTCGCTTGG